AAATTACAAGAAACTGCCATCTACAAAGCGAATCAAATGGGTAAAAGTTTGATTTGGTCGTTGCCCAACACAATAAAGTCATTTAAAAACAATTGATACGGAAACTCCCAAAGAACTAAGATACTTGACATCGTAGGGTTCAATTGGAAAAATTATGGTATAATCTTTATAAAGTCGACCCTTTAGTCCATTGTATGGACAATCCTATCTTGAATCCCAAGAGAATACCAAGGCGCAATCACGAACATCCTCTGATAACAATATCGCTTGAATAATCGCCATTCGTTGAACCCCCTCAGTATGTAGGAGCATTGACTTTTAAGATCGTTCTGCTGGCGGGGCAATTTTCTTTACACCAATCAAGGCAACGGAGAAAACACGATGGCGTCAAGTCATGACATTGCACTGGCAAAAGCACAAGAACAATGGAAAAGCACTCTTTGGATTTCAGTAGAAAGCAAATGCCGCCCCGAAACTTTTTGCTTGACTGCATAAATATTTCTAGCCCGATCGCATGGTCGAAAGAGTATTTAAATCTAGAGATAAGATAATAGGTACCCCTTTGCTATTTATAAGCAAATGTTCACAATCAAAGTTGAGATTGGTGTTGGGTTATTTTATCATTTTCGGGGGGCTGGAATGTTATTTTAAGCCTCAGCCTCGAGAAACACCTAATTTGGGCTCTAATTGGGGCCTCGTTTTTTTAGGGGGCACGTGTAAAGTGTGACATTTGTGACGAGTGTGTGCTTTTCATTAGCAATTTTTGCTTTGGGGCCCCATTTATGGACGTTGGTTCTCAAGAGGCGTCAATGGCATTTGGCCTGATGGTAATAGCAATGGTCATTAGCATCTGTTGGTTAGAGTGTAAATGTAACTGGATTCCCCTTTTAAAAAATATGTGGGATCAGGGAAATATAATATATCTCTGGTGTCTGAAAAGGTTATTAGAATCTCCCATGAAACAGTTTTAAATTAAAGTGTAGCTTAGCTGCAAAACACTCCCACTTTCGTAAACCCCTACGCAGCACTTAACCCAACTGCAATGCAGTTTGACCTTTGTTGGTGAAATGCCATAAAGTGCATTTTTATGACCGCAATGTGTTAACAATTGCTGGTGAAAAAAAGGACAAGAAATGCAGGGTCTTCCTCATTTGAGAAGCACTTGAAAAACCATTAAACATTTCTCCCCCGGGACACGAGACCCGATGAGCTGTTCTCTTCACAGACATATATCTATCTGACCTTCTCCCCCATTAACCCATAAATGGGAAATTGATATCGTTCAATGTGTTGTGACACTGATAAAATATCAGCCAAATTAGATAAAGTTGCGGCCAAGGACAGGCTTCTTTTTCACTTACTTTTACTTATATTTCAAACCCCTTTTGAAGTCGAAGAGAGCGCGTAAAATTGTATCTTTTATCTTTTGCAGAAGGCAGAGTTCAGCATTCAGTTTTTCCTCGCCAATACGATTTCTTTTTTTCGCATTGGCCATTTGTGTGTGTTTTTTATTTCGTTTGTTGGCCTTTCACGTTGATAGGCTTTTGTGTGCTATTAATCGCATTTTTATCGCCACTTTAATAACATATGCCGCGCGGTTGGGAAAATGGGTTTGGTTTTGGGGGGAGATGGGGAGTTTTGGGGGTCAATTAGCTGTCGTCTGGGCCAGGCACTTTCACAATTTATCAAAAATACATCATCAAAGTGTCCACTGTTCGTTTTCAATTTCATACTTTTTGTTGTCTGCGCGGCGCATTTCTCTCTCCAGGAGGAGTTTTATTATTAATTAAAAACCTGACAGACATCGCCGTCATCACGATGACCATGACCCAAGTGGGTGAGCTCCTTTGTTGTGATGAGTGGCTTTTTGTGTTGTTTGCTTTGTTGCCTGTGCATTTTCACATTGCTAAAGTTCGCTGCTCCGGTGAATAAGAATTTGCTTGTCTATAATTCAGTTGAGACAACTATATGTATGTACTTACAACATGCTACTTTTGTTACGCCCCGCCTTTTGTGCCGGTGTTTGGGTTTTTAATTTGAGCCTCGATTTTCCAGTTTTCAGCCAGTCAGGCATTAACTTTGCTCATTTAGCCACTCGGTTCGGTTTATTCACTCAGCCACTCATCGCATCCACTCACCCGTTCGTTTCATTCATCCATCTATCGTTTAATCAGCCCTTTGCCTTCTAGACCAAGTTTAGGAGCCGGTTGGCGAGCTCTCAGCTCTTAATATGATTAAGTTTTTACGCTTCGACAGCTTCTAGCACGGCTCACTCACCTCCTCGACATATTTATAGTGCCATTTCTAGGGGTTTGCTCGGGGCACATGTGGCACATAGGTATACAAAAGCTGCGCTACATTTCCAACTAGAAGTTTTTCAATTTCCCAAGAAGTTTTCCTTGGAATGGGGTGGAGGATTATCCCGAAGCAATATAGCACCGAGGGTGTGATAAGGGCAGGGTTTCTCGAATTTCGTGTCCTAATTTAATGTAATTTTGGGATATCATGTTTAAAATTAAGTGGATTAGTCTGTTTATAAGATGATCTTACGTTGCTCGGAGTTTTTATTCGATTTATTAACAATCTAATGAAGAAAATTCATTATTATTTATTGTTTAGTTATTCAGAATATTTATATAAAAACAAAAATACTTTTTCTAAAGTACCTTTTTTTATTCCAGTCTCTTTTTTGATGGGCAAACTGCAAGTGGTTTATTGACTAAACACTTTTTTGCAATTTATTGATTTGAATCTCCATGCAAACAGCCCCTCAAAATGGCTAGCAATTTCTCAATTGAAATCATCCAAACAAATTGCATTTGCATGCTCTATTCCCCGGAGTCAAAGCGAAGGCCAATTAATGGCAGTGAACAAAACATTGGCTCTTCAATGCAAATTCAAAGTGCTGACAGGCGACAATGTTTGATCGCACCGAGAGATGGAAATGGGGATGGGGAATCGGGGGATATGGGTAGTAAACATAAACAGATATTTCTAAATGGAGCTCATGTCATTGGCACATTCCGAAATTCGACAGTCGCCGGATGTGCCCCTGTCTAAAACAAAAGCCTGAATGTTCTGGGAAACTCTCGTTGCTTACGGATACATTTGTATCTATTTATTTCTGCACTTTCAAAGTAATACATACATTGTTGGTATATTGTGGTTCTAAGCATATGATTCACTTTCCTTAATTATTCACAATCGTCAGGGATCGAAAGATGACGTATTTTGGCCATGACTGAAAGGCAAATTAGAAGATCACCTAATATACTTGTGCACTTGAAGAAATTGTACTTAGATAAATCAAATAAAAACACCTCTTAACGAGGTAAAAAACTAGTGACGATCGCACCTTCAACATACAAAAGTTCTGATATCAACATTTGTGACGAAAAATTATTACACTCGTCATTAAATAGACTTTCTAATATTTTCTCATTCGGCCCGCCCTAGCAGACTATTCCAGCCTTTTTCCCTTCACAGGCATTTTCTATTGCAGCGTGCCGAATGAAAAAATATTAGAAAGTCTATTTAATGACGAGTGTAATAATTTTTCGTCACAAATGTTGATATCAGAACTTTTGTATGTTGAAGGTGCGATCGTCACTAGTTTTTTACCTCGTTAAGAGGTGTTTTTATTTGATATCAGAAGTTTTTGTTTGTTTTCATTTGCTCTCATAGGAGCTAATATATACATTTAAATTTAAATTGGTCAATCATAATTTGTAAGCCATTGTATTTAAACAAATTAAGTTAAAAAGTATTTCAAAATACCTTTTAAACGAGGTATGGCACATGTCTGTACCTTTAGTAGTGTAGAACTTACAAACTAACGAAATTTAGCCATTTTTAGCTTTTTTCCCGCTAAAGTAGCGGCTTTTTCCAAAAGTCGTAGAACAAAAGATTCCTATATGGAACTCTTAAGTGCAAATTTACTGATTCCATGACCCTAAAATACAGTTCGGATACCCTCACACAAAATTCAATACTCAGGAAGCTTTAGTTGTTCGAGCTGGCAAAAGTGGCTATTTTCGTATAAAAATAACTTTTAAACGTGACTTTTTACAGTAATGTGTTATACACCAAAATTTAAGGAATCTCAAGGGTTATACAATTTAAAGTTTTAAAGAAAATCGTTAGAGCCGTTTTTGAGAAAAATAAAAAAAAGCTAAAAAATAAGTTTTAAAAAATTGTCTTTTGTTCATATCTTTTTAATTATTACATTTACACAAATTGCATATAGAAGGCGTTTATAGCATTTAAGTAGTATAGAAGTTACGGTTTTCCGAATTTTAGCTATTTATAGTTGTTTTCCCGCTAAACTAGCGAGTTTTTCCAAAAGTGGTAGAACAAAAGTTTTTTATATCGATGGGATGAACGTTATATTAAATTTTCAAAACTTAAGAAACATGTTTTGGACAAACTGACAAACTGACAAACAGAATTAAATTTTCATTTTGGGAAGAAGAAGGAAATCTTATTTTGGCTATAACTTTTGAACGGAGCGTCGGATTTTGACAAATGACCCCTCATTCGACGGGTATTTTCAAAAGGAATACAACTAAAACATTGCGAGGGGGCATTTATCCCCACCGGCCCCAACAGCTCCAAATTTCGAAATTTTCATTTTTTCACTTTCACCGCTCTCTCTCCCAAGCCAATTGATTTTCTTAAAGTCTTGGTATGCAATCCTGTTAGTTTTCGCAATACCTTTCGATTGGTGTATTACTCATTACGATCGGACTATCACAGCAGATTTTCAATTTTGCGGCTATATAATAGTAGTCGCCTTCGCACACTCTCCTGGTGCGCTTCGTCACTACATGGACTGCCGTCCATAGTGATATATTTTATTTTTTTTTTTTACATTTAGTTTCCTATAAGGAAACACAATTTTAATTTATTGAGGTTATTAATGATCTTCTTCATATTAGTTTTTTTTAACCAAGTCTTAATTATGTTTCATTTAATAAATACATTTTTCTCTTTCTGTTTTCAGTGAACTAAAAGCATAAGCTAACAAATCATATATTTCGCCTTCCCACCACAAATGTTTTCGGCCAGCAAAATTGCTTGTTAAGGTGAGTTGTTCGAAATATATAATTATATATTAAATTCACATACGTATTAGTGTAGATTGGCATATGTCAGTGACTAAGAGCCCCACATTTAATGCCTGTTAATTGCTGTTGGACAAGAGCTGTTGCCTAATCACGGCAAGGCGATTTATTTAGAATAGATTAGATAATGCGCTACTTGGTTGTATCAGGAGATATATTTGAACTCTACCAGACATTCAGTTAAAATTGACTATATTTTTGAATAATAAATAATTTAATAATTCAAAAATATTAAATAATTTCCGTTTCCGGTGGCTGACATTATTCTTTGGACGTCGAGAGCACCTGGATTATTAAAGTCGGTCCCACCTGCACTCGGCTATCAATCCTCATAACCCTGCCTCTTGCATTTTTAATTGGCAAATGCTGCTCGACACCCAATGAAAAGTCGTCTTTTATTGGCCAATGGCCAACTTGAAAAGGGCAAAGTTTATTGGGACAATAATACAATCGAACTGGGGGAGAATCGACAATCGACGAGAATCGAAATTCGAAATCGAAACCCGGCAAGAACTATTTTTAATTATCCCACAGCATTTGGCTTTGACAGTTTCAGTTTCAATTTCTAGCTGCAGTTTTTCAATTTATTCAAATTGATTGCGGCACCACCCACAGCAAAGCCCACCCATTTTTCACCAAATTTCTAACAAGAAATGAAAATCTAAACATCTCTAACAGATTCGATAAACACGAGCCGAGAAAATAATGAAAGAGGAAAACTTTCATCGGTGGAAAATTTGTGTAAAATTTATTCTGCCTCTGCCCCTTATTTCTTTTCTTTCTTTTTTTTAAATTTAAATTTATTTCTTGCGGCGGCTGCTAATTTTAGCGTGAAGAAAGCTGATTGCATGGGGCATTTGTATTTCGGCTCTTCAATTGCCATTTCATTTATATTTTTAATTACGCAGAGCGATCTAGAGAGAGACTCCTCCCTCGCCCGATCTCCCCCTTCGCATTGGCTTTCGTGGCTCTTATGTGCAATTAATTTTACCATTTGTCACAAAAAACATAATACTATTTTCGTGATTTCACATATTATTTTGTAGTTAAATTTTAATTTTAGTTGCTGCTGCCGTTTTTGTTGCCGGGAAATGTAATTAGCTTTGCGGTGGGTTTATTGAACTGGGGGTTGAGCTCTCCAACTACAAATAAAACAGAAAACACAAAACATACACACAACACAAACTGCGGCACACATCGGACATGTTTATGCGTTTCGAGCTATTTACGACCAAAGGTCCCGGCCACAAAAAATATTGATGTTTCCATAGACATGCCCAGTTCATTGCCATATGGTGGAAATTCTATGGTTCAGGTAGTTCTCTACAGCGCTACATATTCCCCATTCCAAAGTGCTGGACTTCAGGCAAACTGGTTTGCTGATCTAATAACTCCCACAAGCGGGCGATTATTTTATTTATTTATTTATTTATCAATTTCTGATCGCAAATTGTTATGATTAAAAAGATTCCATGAATAAAAAATCTATTAAAAATCCATTTTAAATCTTAAATCAAATCAGTTTCCTTTGTTGTTTGCGGTTTCCTTTTATATTTTGCCACAATTAAAATTTCAAAACAATGTAAAACAAACAAATCTATTATCACCTACTGAAAAAACAACAAGGCGAATGCGATTCAGCGAATACCATTTCCTTATCTATAACATGTGTAGTTTAATTTAATGATCGGCGCCTATTGCAAACAAGCGCTGCTGCTCTCGTATAGGGGTTCCTTAGCCTTATAAGGCCTGCCGTCCGACCCACTCTCATTAGTCGCCTATTGAAATCGAACTGCGCTGATAACAATTCGCGATTGGAAATCGACCTGCGGAAGGTGTTGATGCGATAAGCACGTTCGCATTTGGGGCGGCCAAACCTTGACCAACTAAATTGGGGCTAATGAATCAGCTGATTGATCACGATTCGACTCTCCGATCCGATTCCGATCCATATAAGGTGCCGGAGTCGCTGGTTTCGAAAGGTATTTCCTTTTGCTGCCGCCGCCGCTTCGCTTTTCCAATCGGCAAACGCAAATCCAATTATCAATCGGATCAATTGGAAAGTCGGGGCCGCGGCAACCGCAGTCCAATAAACGGGGCGTGTCAATGCAATTAAGGATGGCAGAAGGGCGGATCGATTTGGGTTCCGTTAAGGAAAGTAAGCCCCGGAGCAGAATGCACCGAAAGAAATTCAATGATCGATTGGCTGGATCGATTTTGTAAAAGAGATCTTGAAACTTTTAAAGTAAATTAAATATCAATTCGGTGGAGCTGTTATCTTTTTTTTAAAGTATTAAATAGTATGCAACATGCCAAAACAGTAGTAGTAGTAATTAAATGCTGAACAATAAATTTAAAATATTTAAATATTTCGTCTTTGTTCCTTTTTACACTATTTTAAATTAGAAGTAGGATTTAATCATAGAAAACTTATGGGAAAGTAGACTTACAATAAGTAAAGTAAAGGTTCTTAAAAAACTTTTGATCAGCTTCAAAGAATCCTAAATAGAATTACTTTTTCGAGAGAACTCTCCTTATAGCTGTTATTTCCCATCGTTGGATGCTTTGCTGCCTCGTGTTGTTGGGCCTATGAAACAAGTTTTTCCCTCTCTCTCTCTGTCTCTCCTTAAAAATCTGCCCATCTCTTTCGGCTTTTCTGGTTGCGCATGAATCACTTTTTGTTTTGGTTCGACTCCGCTTTGCTCGGTGCTTTGTCTTTTCGAAAGGTAACTAAACTATGTACTATGGGGGCTCGGGGGATCCAGGGAGTCGGAGAAATTGAGTTTATGACGTTTGCACTTAACCCCCAGTGGAAAACATGGCACAGTTATCATTCGTTAGCTTTCTGCCCAGCAGCGGAAGTTTGTCGGTCGAGCGTGAATCGATCCACGCAGCTCGCTCGGCATTCGTCACTAATTCATTCATTCGTTCGCCCAGCCAGCCAGTCAGTTAGTCAGTCAGTCAATGGAATTCGGGGTTTCTGTATAGTTTTCCATTCCATTTTTATTTGCTGCTTGATTGCATTGCCAGCGGATATTGGCAATGCAACTGGGAGACCCAAATAGCGCACCCCCAAAACCCACAAAATCCCTCAGATTCCCCCCATGAGAATTGCGGAATAAATAGCCTTTGCAATCCATAATTCAATTTCCTAAAAGTCCTTTATGGTTTGCACAATTTTATCTATATGTGGTTTTTAGCTGCAATTTAATTTTAAAATTCAATTACTATCTTATGCATAAACGAGTTTAATATTCAATTAATTTAAATAAAACATCACAATCAAATTGCAATCTCAAAAACAAACATTTTACTTGTATTTACTTTAATTTGTTCCACTTTTTAAAAAGTGTTTCTATAAAATTCAATAATCAAAAGCGAAAGAGAATTGAAAATGTGGAGCCGTCGTCACTGGTTCACGGTCAACTCGTGCGCCTAATGACAGCCAACGATTTTCAGGCGCATAATTACGCCAGCAAAAAGCAACAAGAGTTGAAAAAATGAAAATGAAAAACACAAGTAACCACTGCAAACAACTGTTTCATTTACATTGTGCAGAGTCATGGAATCTGGTCAATGAATCGCACTAAAATGCTCCTCATGCAAAGAAAAAAATCAAACAAAAGAGAAAAAAAACCGAAATTACCCAGAGCACGCCAACACACACAACACAACAACGATAACCAAGAAGTCTGCACACGCGATGGCAAATCTCGTATGGAACACTATAAGTGCCACGCCCACGCCCCAAATGGCCCGGCTTATAATGGCCACATTTATTGACCACAAAGTAGCAGATAGACAGACGAACAAAAACGGCCAAAAACAGCATATTTCATGGACCCATGTGGGCAGGTGTCTTGGCTCTCAGTGTCTGAGTTTCCGAATGCGTGGGTGGCTGGTAAGCGCCAAAAGTTAACCATTATTAACAGTTTATTAAAAACAACTCAAGTGGCCAAGGTAAATAAAAAGCAAAGAGATCAGGCTAAGCCGAAGCACGTGCTGCCAGAAAAGTGGGCCAAAAAAGAGAACACCAAATAAAAAATCTCCTTAAAAGGTAATGATATAGTAATCAGTGAATGTATGATAAAGTTTAGATGTTTGATTGTGAAGACTAATCATATTTGTAAAAAAAACTCACAAATAAAATATTTAAAAACCAACAGGTCGTATGAGTAATGTTAAAAAGTTCTTAGCTTATAATTTGAGTAACAAGAACTGAGTTTTATAAAACCATTGTCAACTGCTTTTACCCGAACTCTTTCTTAACCTTCCTCTCGCCAACTTGCAACATTGTACCCCATGTCGTATGAGTAATGCGAGGCATTTAGAAAGCGAAACTTCGCCACTACAAAGAGCAGCATTCCTGAGCAAATTGCAAATGCTAAGTGAGAGCCGTGTGGCATCTAACAAGATTCTTTACGCACACACTCTCTAGAATCGAAAGAGACAGCATGATGGGCCAGAAAGAGTCGGCACTATTTATTGATTTCGGTTTCAGGCAAAGCTTGTTGCTCTCAGCCTCGCAAATCAATTACGCAATTTTACTCTCCAGCGATTATATATTTAAATGAAAACATTTTCTCATGGCAGCCAATTTGATAAGTGGAAAAACGCTCATCAATCCGTCAGTCGAGCGCTCCATCACTCTGTCAAGACACAGAACTTTCCTCAATATTTCATCTGAACGAAAGTTCACTGACTTTGGTTGTTCGACAAAACAGAAAAAAAGAATGTATGACCCAAAAAAGAAACTCGGAAAATGTGCGTTGATGCGCAGTGGAAATGTTGCGGACTGTCAACGGAATATATATATAAATACCATCGTAACAATAACCCATACTAAGCATAATGCTACACAAAAAGATAAATGATTATGATCTGATGATCAGAAGTTTTAATTTAATATTAAAATATGAAAATTATATAGTATCATTCGATTCGTTTATGAAACAGTCAAA